ATTTTTAATACCATTCACTACTAATAAATGAATAGCATTAACATTGACTATTGATATGATTTTGCTCACAAACTACAAACAGTGTATTGTTCACAAACATAATTATCCATAATCATTTATATCGCTCCCCGTACTGCTCCCTATTTTTTGTGACCCTCATAGACAATAATGTATTTTTGTATTTTATATTAATGTATGATGTATGATATGATTTAGATTTACCTAAACATCGAGAACAGTTTACCAATAAACAATTGAAACGGTATGAACGGTACGAGTAGAGCCACGCCGACAAACGCTGACCATCCGAGATGTGTATACATAATGTAGGACACAATCACTGCCTGTACCGGTCCTAACACCAGATAGTGTACAAATGTAGAAAACTTGGTGCGAAATAAATATATAGATTTTATCATATTTCTATATCGTAGGTATCAAACCCAATGCAAATAAATACCTCGTCAAAACGGTTCACATCGTTGGACATAATGTTAACAATTTGACCGACAGTAGTCTTGCCGAGCGATGCTCGGCTCAATTTGAGTGACTGCATTTGGTAAATTATGGTGAAATTATTAATCTATAGTGTTTAATGAACTAAATAGTGTTTTGCCAAAATGATAATTTACCTTTTTATACATGAGCGCACAGCTGGCGATCCGCATACGCATACCGACCTCTTGGCTAAACACTAGCATCGGGTGGTGTAGTGTAATAAACAGGGCTGAGCACAGGCACACTCCCGCCGCAGCCACACAAGCCTCCTGGTAAGTGACTGCGGGTACGCCACTGAAGTAGTCAATCACATACCCGAGCAAAATGGGCTGAGCGATACGGATTACACTTTCCTACAATTGATATACCGAGGTAATATGTTATATATTTTTAATATTAGGACAATATAATAGTCGGTTTGATTTTACCTCGAATAAAAATACGCAAAATGGCAAAATATAGTGTTTGCCAAATGTCCAGAAGAGAGCCCTCCAGAATTTGGGCCGCTTTTTGCGGCACTCGTACCGCCAGTTCCTGTAGTGTTTTGTTTGGGTGTTATTTGTTTAATAGGAATTACAATTTGTGTTTAATTAAAATTTTGTGACAAACTATTTTGACAAACGTTACATTATCTGTTTTATACAAACATAATAGCAATTATAAATTATAACTTATAATAATCTAATAACAAGTGAAGATTAGTGCTGTTATTTGTGTGCTTGTTTAGGAATTATGGTAAATGACTAACTTTTCGAGTAAATTGCATATACGCTGTGCGTCCACCGCCTTTGGGCACCGGGACATGTCGTCCATATCGAGGCCATTTTTGCGCACACCGACCATCCATGTGGGGAATATCCAACTATTTATATAATTTATTAATTTGTGTACAAAATTAGTTAATAAATTAAAACCTATGCGCTTTTATTTGATCATATTTAAAATATCAAATATTTTATGTTAAAATTAATTTTATTATTGAAAACAATATATCCAAAACAATATAATAACATAATATTTACTGTAAATATTTAGTCTAAAATAAAATATGCAAAGTTATAAATTATAAGTCATGACTAAACTTATATAATTATGGCCTTTATGATTTAAACTTATATTGTAATTGTAGAAAATCAAATAATTAAAATAAAACTAAAATTTTTTAACTATTAATTATTAATAACTACTATTTCAGTTGATGTTGAAACATTTTGTTTAATATAATATTAACATAAAAATAAAATAACTAATAATTAATAAATGAATTCATTCATGGTTTTAATCTACAAAATAAATTACATTAAAAAGTTTATAAGTCTATTAGTGTTTAAGTGTTGGTTCAGAAAACTTTTATCGCAAAAATTTTGTGTTAAAATTGTATCTTTAAATGTAATTTTTGAGACGAATGAAAATAACTCCTTATAAATGTTTACTCGTATTAAATGTAAATATTTATGTAATAATGTATTTATTGTATGGCTAATAGTCGGTAGTTAGTTATGATTTACATTGTTGAATAATTAATTAGCATATTAATTAATTATTTTTATTTATTACAAAACAGCTAATTAAGTTAAATATCTCATCAAAGTGCAAAAATTAAGATCAATGGTAACCTTGTTATAATATAAACACTGAAATTATCATATTTAATTAACTAATTAAAAATAATATTAAGGTCATTTAAATATTGTTAATATAAAACATTGTAAAACTATTAATATCCTGGTTTATTTAACTGTAATTGTCATTTTAATGTTCATATATTTAATATTAACATTTATTTCCTTATTTATATAAAATAGTAAATACGTAAACTATATTTAACCAAGTTAAAATTAATCAGAAATCAAAAATAAAAATAATATGTTTAGCTACTTACAGAAAAAATAGCTTGCTTAGAAAATTGCAATTATCCCAGGTAGATTTGCCACGAATTTTGGGTTCTTCTTCCATTACATGAATATTTTCATTAAATAATTAAAATTTTATTACACTTTTATTAAACTTATAAATGTAAATAAATTTTTACTTAAAATATTAAATTAAAAGATCATTCATATATTTACAATATATTTATAAAACTTATTTAATTATCACAATTTAATTAATTATTTGCTTAAAATTTATTTATTTATAAAATTTAAACGTTAAAAATATTATTTTAAAAACATTGACAACAAATGTAATATACAGTGTATCACATCATCCCCTGTGAATAGTATACATACAGTACAGTATATTATTTTAATCGTGAGTTTTAATAGTTTAAATAGCAAAACAGTATATCTCACATAATATTTAGTACATAGTATGGCACTAATGGGCCAATAATAACGATATAATTTAGCAATGCTTTTAATACATTTAAGACATTTAATGAGTAAATATTATTATAAGATTTAAACACTGATTACAAGCAAACACTTGTGGTATTTGTTTGCTTTGAGATAATAACGAGAAAATCACTGATTATTTAAATTAAACACAGATTTATTTGTAGTTAATTATTGACGGTTCAGGACATTGATTACGATCTAAAGGCGCGACAATGACCAAGGTCTATATTGAACAGCGTTAAATAATATTTTAAATTTCATTTTTATTAATTTATTTTCAATATAACTTTTGTTAATTATGTATATGAAAGCATTGAAAAATATAAAATTTTAGTACATTTCCCGACTTGTGGTTAACGCATAGCATCGTGTGGTCATTGTTTTGTAATATTTTATATTAATGTTTAGTACTTACAAATAATATAAAAATGAAAATATTTAAAAACTAAAATCCATTGGTCACTTGTATTTACATTATAGCACTTAAAATGCACTCAAAAGCGTTCAAAATTTTAACAATATATTTAAGGAAATAATTTTGCAAATTATTTGTAGATTAATAATAATATTATTGACAATTGTATGATAAACAACAGTTGTGTACAATATTTTCCTATATAATGAACACATTTTTTGTTGGTCAATTAATAATATAATTTCAAAATCACTAACAATTCAGTATTGAAAAATACACTTGTACCTCCATATCTCGAATTAATCTAGATCGTTTGAGTTATAGAGCTTTTCGATTTTTGTATGTTTCTTTAATAACAATGGGAATGAATAGGATTTGAAAATAGTTCACGTAATAGAAGATTAATAGAGTCGACAAATTCTAGTGTATTTACAAAAAATTAGTATTAATTTAACCAACAACAAGTTAAATGTGAATAAAAATAGATTATTAATTAAATGTCAAAAATATATGTTGTATTCTCATTTAGAATACAATAAGTATTGATTTTAACATTTGGGATCCAAAAATCATTGAATCACATCCGAAGTATATTAAATAAGTCTTTTTGATAGTAATTTACAGTTTATAATATCAAAGCTCTCTCTCTCTCTCTCTCTCTCTCTCTCTCTCTCTCTCTCTCAACTTAATTTTAAAATTGATGAATTTGGTTACTACATGTCGGTAATTACATTTTAAAAAGTTCATTTAAAGACAAGTAAAAGTAGCTATACAAATACAGACACGTTCCCCAATAAATAATTTGATTTTAAAAGCTAATGTTTAAATAAACACTTTATGACTTAATTACAGTTTATAACTACAAGTTAATAGCAACTAATTAATGTATTAATTAATGTACTCATATTTCTAGGACATTTTCTAAAATAACAGTATAATCAGACCGTTTTTTAATCAATAATTAAATACCTGGAAAGTTGAGACGACGGGTCCATTCTTCATGATATCCTGTTGTAGCGCCTGATTCTCATTACTGAATCCGTACGAAGATTTACCAAAATGCAAGTCCTTAGCGTAGGTGCCGTTATATCCGGCTTCGCACGTGTGCTGGCATTTGGGTGTCGGCCGGAGCTCCTTATCACAGGGCGGCAGATGTCCGGACACGTGGTGTTCGCACGCGTTGATAGAGTATGGCTGACAACCGACGTGCGAGGCGTACAGACCGCCCGACACCAGACCCGTGCGCTCGTAGTAACTCCAGGCCTGTTCGGGCCAACCGCCTCTACACCCGTTACCGCAAGCGCTACAACAGGCCACCAGATTCTCGGCCGACACCTCTACCTGTTGTTTGCCCTGCGATGCGATGCATATGCGGTCACTGATGGCTTCAACGGTGGCGAACGCCCAGCACGAGCCTATTTTGAACAATAAAGTAGATTATAATCATGGTGAATTTCAGACATTGTATAATATTTAAATATAACTCACCGCACGAGCCCTGGTCTCTGACCTCTTTGATTGAGGCACAGGTTGGCCACTGAGTGCGGGCGTCAAAGGTTTCCGGTATTTCCAGCTCCGGATCGTAAGCGGGTGTTGAGCCGAATGCCCGTTCGGTCAGTGCCGGCACTCCCATCAGGCCTTTGATGTAATCCAATGAATACGAGTCGTCAAACTGTTTTTCTGCCTATTGTTTGATGCAAAATACTTTTATTTAACATGTTTAATTAATAAATTTTCTCTAAAATAAATTTTTATTTTATATAAATTATAAATGATAATACTATTATGTAATATTAATAATACTAACCTTCCACGTTGTTCCCAAATTATTGATATAATCAACCATTTGGTCGACTTGTTTGGTCGGCGACTGTAATGACACGGCTACGCAAGCCAACAGAATAGCGATCAGGGTAAGTTTTCCCATGATTTGTTTTTGTTAAAATACTAACAATTGCTTTATTTGTCATTACTTATATACATAAGTGATCCGGATCTAATCATTTACGTTAGCATTATCATTTTCCAAGAATATTTCACTTATTAAACAATTGTTTTTATCGTAATATGACCTTATAAGTTTAATAAATTTGATCAAACTTTAGCAGGTGTACTGATTATGCCTGTACTATACATTGCAACATACACTGGCAATTATTATAGAACTTACAGTATGTTATGCAAAATGTTTATTGTCACTAAGTTTATCTGGATTGTTAAAACACTCGCTGTACATTAACAAGTAAGTTATTTATTTAACAATGTAATTGTCAATAATTTCAAGAAATGTAAAGCATATGCAGTTCATTAGTAAATAAATAAAACATTAATTATTTTGACGTATATTATCAATATTTTATTTGTCATTAAATCAATATAAATTTAAAATAATGTTAATTAAAAACAATTCTTTTCAAAATAATAATTAATATTTTTATTAACAACATTGAGCAATTTGTTTTGAGATGGAAATGCGGTCGCTATTAACATCGATGCGGCATTTGTACATTTTTCGTTATTGCAAATTATATTTGCGAACTTTTGACTGCAGTTATTAATTAACTTTGCAAATTGCAATTACAAATGAATTAAATGTATTATAACATGATAAAACAGATGACGAGAAAGTTCTTCCAATAAATAATTAAATAAATGAAACCTAATGTTTAAATATTTATTCTTATATATTTAGGTCTCTCTAAATTTGTTGTATAATTCATTTTATAACAGAATTTTAATACAATTAATATTTGAATTTTGTAATTAATTTTATAATAAAATTTGTGTTTCAATTTATAATACAATCTACTATAATTATGTTGAAATTATGATATACAGTTTGGCCGCGAATTTGGCATTTCATTGGTACTGAATAAAATATGTGCCAAAATCGAGTTCTGCCAATATCGAAAATTAGAAAATGTGCATAAAATCACATTTTTGAGGTTTAATTTACTCTTTGGGACATAATCTTCAAAATTTTGTTTGAGGTGATGCCATAATCACTAAATTGTGGCACAATGTCATTATAATTCACTTTGTTGTCAATGAATTTTACAATTTTGCATTTTGTTTCAAAAGTAAAATCCCTTCTCCGCTTATATGCCGACATTTTCACTCACAATTATACAAATGTGCTAAAATCGAAGCATAGATTATGCTGTAATGACAGTGAAAAAGCAGTGCTAAAAGCGAAATCTGCCAAAATCGAAAGTGCTAAAATCGGATACATTTAACATTACAGTATGCATAGGGCTCGCCGCTGCTAAAAAAACCTTATGCCAAAATCGAAAAATGCTAAAATCGCATGTGCCAAATTTGTGGCCGTATTTTATAAATATTTTTAAAAAATTTTATGTATTTTTTTGGTATTTTAACCATTAGTTTTGCCCAAACTCCTTTACTTTAATTATTTTGTATGAATAAGTATAGTTTTATATGCATTATATTGGCCAGGTAAAAAGCAAAAACAAAAAGCAAAAACATTTGGAGCATCTGACCCATGGTGCATAATTGCCGAACTAATTACAACCAAGTTGACCAAATATCACAGAATATGCACAACTTAGATTTATTGTCATTTAATGAGTAATTTATAAGAATAATGCATACATTTAGGCATTAAAATATTAATTCATAAAGTAATTGTGTGATTGATTGCGAGTGACAGTCAATTCAATTGGAAAACATAAAAGTGAAATTCATATCATTATGTCATTCCATTCCTTAGCAATAGTCATAAATTGTTTCATATAAAAACTAACATTGAAATTACATATCAAATCAAACTACATTATACTATTTAACAATGAAATAACAAAATATGATTCTGATGATAGATGTGATGATGTGTTGATCATATCTTTCATCTCATGGCAAAAACGCCTTTTCATCGCATCTTATAGTAATTAAATGCAATGACTGGCAAAACACCGCTTACAATATTATTAAAATCAGGCGTAAAATTAATCAAAATATTGTTTTAACAAATAGTTTGTATTTGAAAAATGTATAGTTTTTCTAGAAAATACTTTTGCTGTAGCTTTTAAAATCTATACACAATATATTATTAACACTATTTTAGATAAAATAAATAATTATCAATTATTAATCATAAATATTCTTTCATTAATAAAATTGTTTGCACAGTTAATTAATTTTAAAAATATTAGCACGGTTGAATTAATTGTGGTAATTGTTTGCGTTAATTATGAATTCAAAGCCGTTATCAAAAGAGCAAATTGAGCGCCGCCTTAAAT